CCACACAAATGTGTGCGTATGTGTTCACTACAGTGTCACTGACAGAAACAGGGGGCTAAGAATAATAACAAAATACCTAACTGTATGGAAATACATCAGTAAATTGGAGTACATATTCTTTTTTTTTTTTTTTAAGAATTTATTTGAGAGAGAAAGAGAGAGAACAAGTGGTGCTGGGTGAGGTGCAGAGGGGGAGGGAGAAGCAGACTCCCCTCTGAGCAGGGAGCCCCTCGTGGGGTTCGATGTGAGGACCCCTAGATCATGATCTGAGCCAAAGGCAGACACTTAACCAACTGAGCCACCCAGGCGACCCTGAGGTACATATTTCTAAAGAAAGACTAGACACAGTGTAACATAACGCTACGGAGAAGAAATAAAACATGACACTGAAATAATGCTATAGTTTAAAAAAAATGAACATACGAAATAGTATGTGTGCAAAACACTTTGTAAATCCTCTGGGTAATACGGTTATTGATTTTTTCCCACTTTTTTCTTACCTAACGTTTTAAAAAGTAAACACATTTTTTCCAAACCTCACAAAATTTCTATTTCCCGTTTTCAAATTTTTCACTGAAACTCCATTTTCAAAAAGCGGTAAGTAGGATGAAAACCATACATAGAGTATGATTCCAAATATGCTTTTAAGAAGATGTATTAGGAGGGAAAGGTTGGGAGAATATCTACCTAGCCGTGAACAGACATTATCTTGAGGCAGTGGCATTAAAGATGATTTTAATACTCCTAACGACATGAAATAGGGTAAATGAAGGCTATTATCCTTTGGCGAACCTTTGTGACACACCAACCACTCCCCTGGGCGCTTTACACACAGGGTGACCTGTGATGTCCCAGCCATCCTCTGTTGGGGAGGGGGGTGGCAGGGTTTACCACTGTGAGAAATCAAGTTTGAGAGAGACAAAGCAGCTTGCCCAAACCCAGGCAGTGGGAGAAAAACTTCCGCGGGGGGCAGTGGGGGTGGATGTCTGCATTCTCTGCAGGGAGCAGGGGTCCACACCTAGACCCACCCAGCCCAGTCAGTCAGTTCCAGAAGCCTGGGGATAGCCAGAGGAAGGAAAAGAGGAGAGCCCTCCAAGGCGGTGGTCTGGCTGTGTTCGGGAGGAGAGTGAGGAATTAGGAATTTAGAGAGCCACATTCCAAGCAGCAGATTGAGGCGGGAAATTGCAGAGGAGAAGCAAGAGAACTCTTAGAAATGTCAAGGTGCCCTGTGAATCAGGTACCTCACGACGTACAATTTCCTGTCAGCTACCTCAGGCTCTGGACTGTGTCTCTGAAAGTGGCACAATTGAGAATAAATCATGCGAGGACCCAAAATTTCATGACTCTTATAATTGCACTTATCTTATTTTCTTTATTTACAAAATTTGCCATAACCTTGTGAGTGATGTGATGATGAGGAAAAAAATACATAGAAATATTTTTTGGTGTTTTAGAACAATTCTTCCTTAAGATGGAGAACAGTTTAGGGAGCAGCTACCGATTTCCTTTCCTAAGAACCAGGGGAGGTTGCTCATGGTCTGTCTTTCTAGTTTTTGGTGGAGAAGAGAGTCCCCAGCACTGGTCCTCACCAGCAAATCACCGAGCCACTCTGAGTCTTTGGGGAGTGTGGGAGAACTGGGCTTATGCTGCCCAGGACTGCGTGCCTTGAAGGGGGGGGGCACTTAAACCATTTCAACTCCATTTAGTAAATTATTATCAATTTGCCTGGAACTCTCCTTGATCCCAGGGTAGGCTCTGAGGGGAGAGGGGCACTTCCATTTTGCCCAGTTTATTAATAATCACCTGTCGCCCACGGCAGACCAAGGATTTCATGAGGGCAGGATTTCCACCAGCTTTGCTCATAGCTTATCTCTCCCCGGACCTAGCACACTGCCAGGCACCTAAAAACTCATGATAATTGTGTGCTGAGGAAAGAAATAAGGACTAATACTCTGAAAAATGCATCCTTTCCTCCCTCGAAAGCTCTAACAGCTCTTGTTGGAATTCCCTTTTCTGGTTTAATTCTTATGTAACATGGGCTCAGAAACTCATGAGTGAAAAATCCAGAGCTGGCCAGGAAAAGAACCTATATAACAGGGTTAAAAAAAGGTAGAATAAGCAATGAAAGATTGGTTCTGTCAATTTTTCACTCTTGATTCATTCACATTTCCCGAACACGTCCTTTACACCAATCACCGTGCTCAAGTACTAGAGACACAGACTTTTTCGCCTGGCCGTGATAACAGGGATAAATAGAGTATCCCTTAGCATTTACTTATCCACTAATAATAAGTGTCCAGCACTATGTTCCAGGCATTGTTCTGAGTGCTTTCCATGTACTGCTTTGTTTATGGGTAGCACTGTGTTATCCCCATTTTAGAGATGAGTGAGCTGAGGCTCAGAAAGGGTAAGGAGTTTGTCCGTGTTCCACAGCTGGCCAAAGGTGAGGGCCAGGCTTGGGTTCCTGCAGCTTGATGCTTGTATTCATGCTCTTAATGGGGTCCAGAGAGCTTCCCGAGAGAGGTGACCCTGAGATCACTGGCCTTGGAATCACCAGGGATGCAGGATTAAAAAAAGGCAGATTCCCAGGTCTGGGGCTGAAGGGGTCAGAATCCCTGGGAGAGGAGCCTGAAAAACTCAGATTTTTTTTTTTTTTTTTTTATAAAGCATGAACCCAGGTGTTTCAGATGTGCACTGAAGTTCGTAAAACACAGCACCCAAATGTGCCACACTCACTCCTGGGGAGTTCAGGGTATGGCTAGCACCCACCCTCGTTTACCCTCCCCGCCCCTCCCTGTCACTTCCTGACAACCCTGGGACAGAAATGGAATAGAGAGGAAAGGAGGGATGGAGGGAGGGAACTTCAGGGCAGCTCTGGGGGTGACGAGACTCAGCAGGAGGCTCCCTCTACCACTAGGGATGTCTGCCCAGTTAGAGCCGCTGAGCAGCTGGGAAGAGCAGGAGGGTGACATTTAGCTGTTCCCAGGGCTCAAAACCTGAACCTTCATCCCTTCCAGGACCAGGACTAGGCAGCACTGGGTCCCCTCCTAGTGGGCAGGGTCCACATCGGTCTGCAGGCTGGAAAGATTCAGCTGACAGGACACGTGGCAGAAAGGAGGAGCAGAGAGGAGGGTCCTGGCAACAAATGGGCTACATGCTCCTAGGATAACAAGGAAGGTTCCAAACTGCAGGAAGTGGAGGAAGGATGGGTATGCCAGGTCCCCCAGGGGGTATCCAGCACTGGTTCTCACCAGCAAATCACCAAGCCACTCTGAGTCTCAGTTTCTTCCTGCATAGGAGGAAAATAATAAGTATAATTTGTTGTTGTTGTTTTTTAAGATTTTAAGATTTTATTTATTAGGACTCCTAGGTGGCTCAATCAGTTGGGTATCTGCCTTCAGCTCAGGTCATGATCCCAGGGTCCTGGGATCAAGTCCTGCCTTGGGAGCCTTGCCAGTGAGAAGCCTGCTTCTCTCTCTGCCCACTGCTCCCCCTCCTTATGGATGCTCTCTCTCTCTCTCTCTCTGACAGATAAATAAGTAAATAAGTAAAAAAAATTGTCAGAGAGAGAGAGAGAGAGAGCATACAGAGGGAGAGGGAGAGTTATTTGTCACTCTAGGTGCTACTCTATCTTCCCAGCCCACATCCTCAGCCTCCACCGCAAAAATGCCAGTTAGTTCATCTGCATTCAGCAAAGATGCAGTGCGTAGCTCTGTCAACTGAGAGAGCTGTCAGTACACAAGGTTCCCAGCAAATGGACCCAATGTTAGCCCTGTCATGTGGTGACACTGAGGGACTTTGGAGGGCAACAGAACTACGCAGAAAACCCAGACCCCCAGGCCAGTCTTCTTCTCTCATCTTACCTCTCACTGTTTGCCCCTCACTCACTCCTACTGTTACCTGTTCCCCAAAGAGGTCAAGCTCATTCTCACCTCAGGGCCTTTGCACTTGCTATGTCTGCTGCCAAAAACACCATTCTTCCTGCCTGAAAGAAGCTTTCCCAAGATCTCCCCTAGGTTTCCTCTTCCTTATCTTCCAAGTCTCAGATCATGGTCCTCTCCCTCAGAAAACCTTTCTTGACCACCTCACCTAAATTAGTGCCTCCAATCCATTCCTCTCCATTGCATCATCTGGCTTGCTTTTCTTCATGGTGCTCAACACTATCTGAAAGGATCTTGCTTATTATTCACTTCTGTGTTTAGAGAACGCCTGGCAAATGGTTGACTCTAAATGAACATGTGCTGAATGAATGGACAAATGAATAAATGAATGAATGGAAGATCTGAACAATTTTTCTTATAATAAGTATCTGGAACCCTATATCCGAAAGCACCCCCTCTCCTTTCAGTTAACAAGGGCAGAGACCACGAGAAATAACACTGTGGTTGGTAACAACTTAACAACCAGCGGGTGGTTATATCTACACACATTGCTGGGCACGGTTCCAAAGCTAAAAAGGCACTAATTGCTTTTATATAAGGAGGTAGAAACGCAGTCCCTCCATGCCCTTCAGTCCTGATGGTGTGCATTATCGTATCTGTTACCGTGTTGATTGTTCCTGTGTCACACAGCCAGTTTGGGCTTTATTCTGCACATGTCTGGGTTGGTGACAGGTTCCTATACAGAGGAGAGAGGTACCGGGGACGAGTGTGTGTTTGTGTCTGTGCGTATGTATCCGTGTGTGTTCAAGTGTGTATAAGAGCAGTGACACTCTGGGAAGGGTTAACTCGCAGTCAAGCTCTCTGTGCTCAGGGCCCTAAGACTGGCCCAGGAATGGGAGGGGTGGGCTCCGAAGGTGGAGCAGGCTGGCTTGCCTGAGCTGCCTTTTCCAAGACAGGAGAGCAAGCGCTTGCCTGGCTGGACTGAGCGTGGTGAACTCGCGTCGCCTTTAGGAATGGCTGCAAAAGCCCACACCTGGAACTCCCTCCCTTCCTGCCCCCCCACGGCAGGTTGCATTCGGGAGGCTCTCCAGTCATTAGAGGAATGAGCCGAGGGTGAGCAATTCACCAGCTCGCCAGCACTTCGAGAACAGCAGGCAAGGATGGATGTGGTCGACAGCCTTCTTGTGAATGGAAGCAACATCACTCCTCCCTGTGAGCTGGGAATCGAAAATGAGACGCTTTTCTGCTTGGATCAGCCCCATCCTTCTAAAGGTAGGCGCCAGACACTGTTATTTTAATTCAGGAAATGATTAAGGTGTGGGAGAAATCAACAAAGACGGGGCTGATAGAGAAAATTATAACAAAGTCCTCTTGAGACCAGGCTGGATAAAGTCATACGTTCACAAGTTTGGATAACAGATCAAAAAGCAGAACTGAGTCAAATATCCTGATTGTTCCCCGCAGGAGAGTTGAGATGGAGGTAGAGGGCATGGGGAAGTGGGGGGGCAAAAGCCAAGGGAGGAGGAGCTGAAGTGTCATAAGAAGGGGGTACAAGTGTCGAAGCTGGAACTTACCGGCATCACAGAAAAGGTGCTGTCACAATCTGTCACCTTTTCTTGGGGGATATCCAGCGTGAAAAAGTGATTAAAATGAAATCAAGCTTAGCAGCTGGGAAAAGAAAGCAACTGGTAGTCACTGGAGAAGCTTTGTTCTTAAGAAAAAGTGGTTCCCTGAGCGATTCTTTAACAAACCAACCTATCAGAAGCAACGGGATCACTCCGTACGCTCCTCAGTTTGCTTCTACAAAATATTGGTGATAGAGGAATAGTCGGGTTCAGTGATGTAGACCCTTGCAAAACAAACAAACAAACAAACAAAAAAAACAAAACAAACAACAACAAAACTAACCTGCAGGAAATCACCGTTCATTTTGTGCGCTGAGATTTTCACATTCTGCTCCCATAACCTCCGTCCCTCTGTCTCGTTCCTGTTACTCTTTGCAGAGTGGCAGCCAGCCGTGCAGATTCTTCTGTACTCCTTGATATTCCTGCTCAGTGTCCTGGGGAATACGCTGGTCATTACGGTGCTGATTCGGAACAAGAGGATGAGAACGGTCACCAACATCTTTCTGCTCTCACTGGCGGTCAGTGACCTCATGCTCTGCCTCTTCTGCATGCCATTCAACCTCATCCCCAACCTGCTCAAGGATTTCATCTTTGGGAGTGCCGTCTGCAAGACCACCACCTACTTCATGGGTGAGTTGCTCCTGGGGGCTGTTTGGAGCTCGCCCCAGACCCTACTCGGCCCCAGACCTTCCCAACCCTCTGACAGCCTCAGCAGAGGCGTCCTGCTGAGTGCAAAGCAAAACAAAACAAAACAAACATCTGGCTGTGTGGGGCTGTGTGCAAGGATGCAGGTGCTGGCTTTAAGGTGGGTCGGTCCTCATGCGTCCCCAGAAGTCAGTCCCCCGTCGTCCATTTCAGAGGTCAGTTTCTCAGAATGGAATAAGTTATTAACCAGCCATAGGAGAGGTTGGTTTTGCTGGCTTCTGCTAGAAAGCAAGAAGGATTCAAGCGATCCTGTCCTTCCTGGAAGCCATTGGTCATGGTTTGAGTTCTGCCCGAGCCAAGCCATGGCTTTTGGGGGTGATGGGGTGGTGGAGGAAGGTTTTCTGTTGTTGCTCTTGCTCTCCTAGGGCTCAGGGGCTATGTGAAAACCAGTTTTGTCCCAGCTCTAGAGTCCTGTCTCAGGATTCACTTCCCAGCCTGATCCCCAGGGGCTGGGACCCTCTTGGGCAGAGAGAGAGAGACAGAGAGAGAGAACATGCCCTCTGGCACTAAATGAGGAACTGATTTTGCTCCCAGAGCCTGTGGGTCATTAAGCTCACCCTGACTGGCTAAGACATGCAGCTCTTTGCTTCTGCCAATCAAAATGATGATGATGATAAATAAAAATCACAAGAGCTGATATTTGTGATGCAGCAGATGTTGTACGAAGTGCTTTTACTCTCACGATCCCATCCCCCAACCCACTCTGCAAAAATATATATATATATATAAAACACAGTTATTCTTTCCCGTCTCACCAAGGAGCGAAGAGAGGCACAGAGAGGTTAACCAGGTGCCCGGGGACACACAGGTGCTAAGCCACAGAGCTGAGATTTGAATCTAGATCAGGAGCCACCACAGTGGTGGATGAGGACAGATGCTGCCCCAGTTTGCCAGCAGCTGGTGCTTTCCTGAAGCCAAGCAAAGATGTCTCTCTGCCCTCTTTGGCTGCCAGATTGCCCTGTGCCTTCTCCCTTCTGAATACGAGCTGCAAGGAGGAGTGTTGTTTTTTGTTCTGACCTCAGCCTTGCAACAGGCAGAGCTGAGTTGGGCTGGGGCCATCCTCAATGACCGGAAAGCTTTGAAAGCCTTGATTTCTCCCGATCGAGGCAGCGGGATCCAGCCCTGACAAAACGATGATGGATTACTGATCCGTGTGCCACAGACAAACAACCAAGAGAATGTCCGTCCTCGTCCACGAATGAAAGGGATCATGATTAAACAATGAAGCGGTAACAGTTACCAGCATCTCCTCACACTTTTGGCTGTCATTGCCCACCCATAGTATGATAATATTATTTAAGAATCTTAACTAGGGTCTGTGAAAGGAGTCTTAAAATGAGGGCTGGTGTGATTGCACAACACCCTAAGTGTGCCAAAGGCCACAGAATTGCCTGCTTGAAAATGGTTAATTTTTGGTGATATTTCACCTCAAGAAAAAGAATAATAAAAGCAAGAAAATTCTGAAGCTGTGTCCAATGCTGTAATGGTTTTGTTGGATTTCTAAATCCAGGGATTTTGATTCTTCCCTTGATTTTGTGTTCTTTTCAATACTACTCCTAACAGTTAACATTCATTAAACTCCTTATAGCAGGCAAAAAAAGAAAAAGAAAAGAAAGAAGGAAGGGAGTTAAGTGAGGGAGGGAGGGAGGGAGAAGGGTAGAAGGGAAGAAGGGAAAGAGGAAAAAACGAAAGAGTGCTTGCCTGATGGGGGTTTATAATAACAGTGAGCCCATTATACAGATTTGACTCCAGAGATGCTGGGGGTACACTCTGTAATCTCAGTGTCATCAGTTCCTTGGGGCAGAGTCCAGGAAAACACAGCCATCCTGTCTCAGAACATGAGTTTTCATTTAATGTTTTTTGGGTTGTAGATTCCTTCAAGTCTCTAAGGGATACTATAGGTATCTCCCCCCCAGAAGAACATTTTTATGCACAGTTTCAGAGAATTTATTTATATCCATTAAAGGCCCCAGACTAAGAGCTTCTTCTCCCCAACTTAGATTAATCCTAAGGTCTAAGAAATCATGCTAAAGATAATCAGATTAACCGACAGAATCCATGGATGAATAGTTAGAGGGAATTCTAAGGCGGTAAGACATGATAATAAGTATACACAAACAAAATACAGAAATGAAAGAAAATTAAGCTTTTTGACTATGCCTAAGCACATCACTATAAATGAGGTGTTGTGATGTCTTTCTTACTGATGATGCATGCTCCTTATAGAAATATAGAAAAACAAACAGAATAAGAAGGAAAGCTCTAGTCCCCGCCGCCCCCCCCCAAGAGCAACAAAGGTTGCTCTTCTCAGTTCTTCTTAGTTACGGCGTGGAGCCCTCTCCCTTTATCCTTCCTTTACTGTGTGTTTTCTTCAGTAGACTGCTTTTTCAAATTTATAATGGTTCATTCTCAAAACCGTCTGTACTAGGAACTCTCAGAGTTTTAATGCCTCCAGCTCAGACCCCTGTGACCTTTCAGGGTCACAGTCCTTAAGAATCTGGGCTACTAGGTCAATTTAACTTCAGGTTATGCTCAAAATAAGAGCTTCTCTCCAGGCGACTCAGAAACCTCTTGTGTAGGAGAGGAACGTATCTCCTCCCGTTGGTTATTAATTAATGAGCAACTTCAACCTGGGAAGCAGTTTGGTTGTAATCAAAGTTCAATAAACTTATCTAAAAACTGGCAATCAGATGTATTCGTAAGTACATTTCTTCAGCTGCCTTAAATCCTTTTGAAATGAAGCTGGGAATAAATCACTTAAAAAAAATAAATACAGGTACATGATATTTCTTTACCCTCTGAGTGTTGTCCCTTGATAGCGAGCCTGTGCCGAGCAGACATGCTTAAGTTAACATGCAAATAAACTTGGGATTTCAGAGCCGTCATAACTGACTTCTCTGTTCCTTTCCCAGGCACCTCTGTGAGTGTATCCACCTTTAATCTGGTTGCCATATCTCTGGAAAGATACGGTGCGATTTGCAAACCCTTACAGTCCCGGGTCTGGCAGACCAAATCCCATGCTTTGAAGGTGATCGCCACGACCTGGTGCCTCTCCTTTACCATTATGGCTCCGTACCCAATTTATAGCAACCTGGTGCCTTTTACCAAAAATAACAACCAGACGGCGAATATGTGCCGCTTCCTACTGCCAAATGATGTCATGCAGCAGTCCTGGTAAGGCGGTGTGATGTTTATTTGTGTAATGCAATTTGTTATCGTTTGCAGTTTTTGTAAAAATGGGAATATATTGTCCAGAGTGACTGGAGGAGGTCTGTGTCCAGGAGACACGGATTATGAGAAGGATTATGCTAACTTCTTTTTGGGGTAACAGTGATAGCAAACACTTAAGTGCTCTGTTTCAAATGCCAGGTACATATGAATCCAATTAATTCCCTCAAAACCTGATAGAGTAGGTACTGTTCTTGTCCCCATTTTGCAGATGATGAAACACGGAGATGAAACATGGAGACATGGAGAGGTAAGATGAGTTGCTCAAAGTCACAAAACTAGAAGATACAGAGCCTCTCTGCTGACCCGCTATGCGGAATCCCTCTGGATGATTTAGCGGGGAGGCGGGACTGAAGGGCTAGGAGCTGAAGGGCTATGATTTTTCTAAGAACTGAAGATAAAGCAGAGAATGAGTCCCAAGTCCTGTGCATGTGTGTATTTTTTTTTAAGAGCTACAGCTACGGTGCTGGCATAGAACACTTCACTAGAAATAAACAGGCGAGATTCTAAGTCTTTCTTTGCTTACTAGCCAACTGACGATAGACAAGTTCAAGTGACCTTACTGAGGTTCAGGTTCTTTATCTATGCAAGGATTTAATAATATAGTTTTTTTTTTTTTAATCTACCTCATTGGGTGATTCAAAGGAGAGCATGTGTATGAAAATGTCATTAAATATCTTTAAAAAATACAAACGCGGGCTATTATGTTTACTAATTCCAAGCGTATTTTAGAATCTGGGAACTCGACATTCAAAAATGGCTCAAAACAGAGATAATTTCTTTCTTTGCCTTCCTTTTTTTTTTTTTTTCCATTTCAACCAAGTAACACACACGCAGAGTTACGTTGTAAATGAGAGAAACATTTCCAAGACTTGAAAAGGAATCTTATCAAAACATGTCCAATTGAAATGAGAAATGGCCCAGCCACTGTGAGCCTCTAACTATTTTATGGCCTAATCCTGTAACCTTACACATGCCAGACTGCAAAAATGATTTAGGGGCCAGACTCATAAAGGAGTCTGTGGGGCTTCAGGAATCAAACGTGTTTAGAGAAAGCACAGCTCTGCCCCACCACGCCCTAGAAGGAGCCCGCCACTGTGCCCATGGGGGAGAAACAGCCAGAAAACCCTATTTTGCAAAACCTCAGAGGTCATCCATCATTCCTACCTCTGCTTTGGGTGGTTCTGTTGTTGTAAAGTCAACAAATAGTATATTGTGATGCTTAAGAGCTAGAATCGTATTCCCTGGGTTCAAATCCCATCTTTGCCACTAGATGTGTCTCTGGACGAATGATTTAATCTCTGTAAATCTTAGTTTCCTCACATATAAAATAGGTATTATGATAACAGTACCTATCTCAAGGGTCACTATGGGAGTTAAACCTAATGTTACATACATATATATAAATTATTATTATATATATAATGCTTAGCCTAGTGGGTAGCACAGCAAGTCCTCGATGAATATAAGCTCTTATAAGTATTTATGTTTTTGGTAAGCCTTACTGAGATTATTCACATACATTTTGTTGTTAATTTCTCATTGGTTTTACATGAAGGTTTGTTCCAAGCACAGAATCACACCAGCCTTTTCCAATTTAACTAGTCCTTCGTAAGAAACTTTATCTGAAAAGAGAGAGAGAGAGAAGTAAACAACTTCAAAAGACTGAACCTCCAGGGACGCCTGGGTGGCTCAGTTGGTTAAGCGGCTGCCTTTGGCTCAGGTCATGATCCCAGCGTCCTGGGATCAAGTCCCACATCGGGCTCCTTGCTCATCAGGGAGCCTGCTTCTCCCTCTGCCTCTGCCTGCCATTCTGTCTGCCTGTGCTTGCTCTCTCTCCCTCTCTCTCTCTCTGACAAAAAAAAAAAAAAAAAATTTTAAAAAAAAAAAAAAAAAAAGACTGAACCTCCAGACATAGAATTTCCAAGGTCATGAAATATTAGTAATTAATGTGTTTGCTCAGACCAGTTAAAATGAAGATGAACCCTATTTATTCCACCCCATCTGAGTTTGAAATACTAGAGATGATGGTTATTGAATTTCTTTTTATTTTATTAGGCACACGTTCCTGTTACTCATCCTCTTTCTTATTCCTGGAATCGTGATGATGGTGGCATATGGATTGATCTCTTTGGAACTTTACCAAGGGATAAAATTTGATGCTATCCAGAAGAAGTCTGCTAGGGGTAACTATCTCTTTGCTGTATGTTTATGCCAAAATACCACAAAAACTTGTTTCCTATAACCTAAATAGATACGCTCAGAGTGTATGTTGAGGATATTTTAAAGTATCCTCAGGAGACTCTGTGTCATAAGGCACAGTCGCGAGACATAGTATCCCTATTCCCTCATCTGTAAAATGGAGAAATTGTTCCTCTCAAAACAGTGCTGAGTAGGACAAAATGACATAACAGACATATACCCAATTATTAGCTGAGGGCCCTTGTGTCCCTCGCTGTCTGCTGTGTTGCATTCTAATGGACTCCTGTTTCCACAACCAGAAAGAATTGTAACTCTAATCCCCCAAACTCTCTCCTCCCTTTCTTTGTCACAGTGCAGTTACTCAAAGCCCAGCTACTTCCCACTCATTATAATCCACAAACCACTAAAATTTAGCCCTACACCTTTGTTGATATAACTTTTGGCCTTTCTCACTCCATGCTTTCACTCAGCTCTTCTACCAGAATTTACGTGTCTTGCGACCTTCTTTGGTTTTGGTTGATTTTTTATCATTATCCAGGTTTCCCAGTAAAAGCATTCTGGAAGCTTACCAATCAAGCAGGAACCTTTCTCCTGAGAATGTGGGGAAAGAAAAACTGTGAATATTCATTCTTTAGTAATTTTAATCCTTACAATTGATGTGCATAAAATATGCTTTTATTATATACTATGTATATGATAGATTATATATTATTGGGTTTTTTTTTTTTTAAAGATTTTACTTATTTATTTGAGAAAGAGAAAGCAAGGGGAGGGGCAGGGGGAGAGGGAGAGACTCAAGCAGACTCTGATCCCAGTGCAGGGCCAAATGCGGGGGGCTGATCTCAAGATCCAGAGATCAAGACCTGAGCAGAGGGTGCCTGGGTGGCTCAGTGGGTTAAAGCCTCTGCCTTCAGCTCAGGTCATGATCTCGGGGTCCTGGGATCAAGCTCCGCATCAGGCTCTCTGCTCAGCAGGGAGTCTGCTTCCCCCTCTCTCTCTACCTGCCTCTCTGCCTACTTGTGATCTCTGTCTGTCAAATAAATAAATAAAATCTTAAAAAAAAAAAAAAAAGACCTGAGCAGAAACCAAGAGCTGGAGGCTCAAGCACCTGAGCCACCCAGGTGCCTCACATTACTTTATTAGTTTTAAGCAGCTTTCCATTTGAAGGAGAGGAGTAGATCAGTAGATCTAGTAGATCAGTACCTAATGATAGCAGAACAGGCCCAAGGATGCCTTCTCCCTGCTTCAGTTCCAGTTTGGTTTGATCCCCTTGATAGAGGGGGAGTCTATCCCTCATGATCCGTCCCTGACAATAAGCGATGTCACTTGCCGCTCTAGACAGGAAGCCGAGCACCGGCAGCAGCGGCAGGTATGAGGACAGCGATGGGTGTTACCTGCAGAAGGCCAAGCCCCGCAGGAAGCTGGAGCTCCAGCAGCTGTCCACACCCAGCAGCGGCAGGGTCAACCGCATCAGGAGCAGCAGCTCCACGGCCAACCTCATGGCCAAGAAGCGGGTGATCCGTATGCTCATGGTCATCGTGGTCCTCTTCTTCCTGTGCTGGATGCCCATCTTCAGCGCCAACGCCTGGCGGGCCTATGACACGGCTTCGGCCGAGCGCCGCCTCTCGGGGACCCCCATTTCCTTCATCCTCCTGCTGTCCTACACCTCCTCCTGCGTCAACCCCATCATCTACTGCTTCATGAACAAACGGTTCCGCCTCGGCTTCATGGCCACTTTCCCCTGCTGCCCCAACCCCGGTCCCCCAGGAGTGAGGGGAGAGGTGGGAGAGGAGGAGGAAGGCAGGACCATGGGGGCCTCTCTGTCCAGGTATTCCTACAGTCACATGAGCGCCTCTGCGCCGCCCCCCTGAGCTGGACCCGCCTCCCGCGCCGCAGGAAGGAGTGGGCAGGGGTGGGGAGACAAGAAGGAAGATTCCATTACCAGTGGGAACTGTTCGTGGTCTGCTTTTCATCCTTCATCCTGGTTCCAGGGGGACTCTGGCAGAGTAGGGCTGTGACTTCGTTTCTGGACAATTCAAGGAAGGAAATGCTTAGTTAACACCCACCATCAGAAACACCTCAACAGGCCAGTCACAGGAGTCCAACAGGGCCCACACTACAAAGGCAATGCCAAACACATGGTCCAGGTGGAGATGTGGACCCTACTTAAGCTTTAGAAGTTTCTAGAACATCCGAGGTGGGCTCTCACTCCCCCTAGTGACACAGCTCTATGCTCTACTTCATCTGCAGATGAAGAAGTGTGGAGCCTTGCTTTGCCCCTGGAGTGAGTCTATCATGTATATACTGTAACCACCCCTCTCATCATGACCACAAAAAGTCAACATGAACCAAAACCTCTTCTGGCCATTTTTCTGAAGCAAGACAACAGTCTGACTTTTTCTTTTTGAGGTTGGTGAAGGCCATTATGGTGTCATCAAAACAGCATAAGGAATGTTGTTTTGATGAACTGGGAATTTATGTTTCTAAAAAGAAAACAGATGTGTGGCAAATAGCTGAGTGGAATGCTGTCTTCCCATAGTGAACATTAAGAGCCAGTAGGCATACAGAATTTTTTTTTCTACTTTAATGACCTATATCGCTTAACTCCACCTTTATATGGTGATATGGAACGCCATGGCCTCTTTGCCTCAATTTCTCATACTCATCTGACACTGCCTCTTTCCCAGAAAGACTCTAGGTACAAAAGAGAGTTGTAACCTCTGTGTACCTGTCCAAGGGTGGAAACAGAAACATGTGTAGTCAGTCCCAGAAGAAAAACTGGCATACTTGTATTCCATTTGCAAATAGCTTTGAAGGTCAAAGTTGTCTGTCCATTAAATTCAATCTATGTATTTGTCAGTAATTGTATTAATTTTATGTATATGTATAAACCAAACATGTAAGTATATTCTTTACATATAAATATATTCTTCAGTGTGTTTAAAAAAGAAAACACAGTGAATGGATGTTGGAACTCAGTAATTGTTATTTTACATTCCTTCACAACATCTAGATTTCCATGTGAAATTTTCCTTACAAAATTAAGGTTGAAATATCTCTTCTCCAATTTAGAAATTTCAATTAAAATAAGACATGAGCTATAAATTTAGATAGTAGGAAGTGCATTTCTAGAACAGGATTTATCAATGTGCTCTGCCAGCACCTCTGTCTTTTTCTTTCTTTCTTTCTTTTTTTCAGGACAACATTGTCTTGACCACTTAAATACTTTAACACAGGCGTTTTTGACACAAACAAGTGCGCATGTTAGTGTAGGAATAAAAAAGGAAAGAGGGAGAGAGGGAAGGAAGGAGGAAAGGGAGGGAGGGAGGAAGAAGGGAGGAACAGAGGAAGGGAGGAAGTTCATAGTATCCATACCTCCAAGCAACTGACAAGTGAGCTTTTCTTTTCCTAGCTTTCATGCAACTATGACTATCCATTGCGCCAGGCCTGGTGTTCTTCACAATGCACAAAGGTCGGCGATTTCAATCATGAAAAGAAAAAAAAGCTGGTGTGGAAAGGAGAAAGGGGAAGACATTGGCAAGAAGGGATCATGAATAGGGGAAGGGATGTTGTATAACTTAGTAAGATGTCAGCATCACCCTTTGATTTTTTCGGTGGGATGGCCGTGTGCTAATAGACGAAAAATAATTGAGGACATGACCATTAATTATAGGGGACTTTTCAAGCCAGGTGTTAGTTTTTCTATTTCTCAGGCTACAGTGTAATGTTAGTATTTATAACCAGTCATCTCAAATATTTCAAGGTAAAAATTCAACTGATTAAAGCACATACTGCTAAATGATCAAAGGAGTAAAACATGAAATTGTCTCCATTATTTAAGTAAATTCTACAAAATCTACAATTTTCCTTCCAGAAGCAGAAGTCTTCCCCTTTGGCAGTGTTAACTTATACATAAAGATAAATTAGGCCCTCCCCCCATTACTGCGGACTTCTGGAAGTTCCAAAGTTGTGTTAACCTTCACATAGGACCGCCAGATTTAGCAAATAACAAAATGGGTTGCCCAGTTGAATTCTAATTTCAAATAAACAACAAATAATTTTTTTTAGCATGAGTATGCCCCATGCACTAACATACATCCTGTATTTTATCTGGCAACACTACTTTAAAATAATTTTAAAAGTACATAAAAATAGAAATAAGATTTCCTGGATACAGGACAATAATATACCTTTGTTCACTAAAATTCATTGCATGGTCTTTCATATAATGGAAGCTCGTTTTAGAAAGAAGAAAAATGCTATTAACTTTCAGAATCTGGGTCTGACCTTTGGGAACAGTACTATCAACAGACTGATTTTACTCAAGAAACATTTTTATTAACATAAAGCTATTCTAGTACTTTGTTGACTCAACTGCCTTTATTTCATGCTGCAATGGATTACTAATTTGATTTTGAACTACAGGGTCCTATTACAGTGAAGAAAACTAATTCACCAAGTTCCTCATGTTTTCTAGTATTTTCAGGTGGCTTCCACACATCACCAGTGCGGCCAATCACAAATTGTGTCCTTGATGTTTACTTAACCCATGTGTCCCCGTGGCTTCTGGTGCCCCGGTTACTGTGGTAATTTCTCAAGATAAACTGTAGTGGTGAATGAGCAATGCATGTATCCATATGTTGGTCTCACATGTTTGCATATGCTTAACATGTATCTCCTCCATTCAGTTAAAATGTAATCGTGAGGCATGAGACAATAGCTGTTGAACTGCTCGCCTCCACTGTAATTCCTTCCAGTGTTTTGCCCAGCACTCTGCACACTGAGAGTGCTCAATAAATGTTGTGACTGGTTTCTGCTCTGCTTCTTATGCTTTAGGGGGCACTCTTTCCATCTACAGCAGTGATTCTCAACAAGGGGGCACGTTCTTGGGGGAGTATCCGGAACTTCTAGAGGGCTTGTCCCAATACCCAAGAGCTGGCTTTGTGAGTACCTGCTGCCGTCTCTCCCTTCCCTGTGCTCTCTTCCTGGGTGTGTGTGTGCACACGAGTGCATGTGTGTGCGTGTGTCTGGGTGTATGCATGTGCAACTGGAGATGTTACTAATGGGAGGATGTTGTGTCTGTGAATTGTGCTAGACACAGATTTTTTAAAAAGGGCTGGGCAGGGGCGCCTGGGTGGCTTAGTGGGTTAAGCCTCTGCCTTTGGCTCAGGTCATGAACTCAGGGTCCTGGGATCAAGCCCTGCATCGGACTCCCTGCTTAGGGAGCCTGTTTCCCCCTTTCTCTCTGCCTGCCTCTCTGTCTACTTGTGATTTCTCTCTGTCAAACAAATAAATAAAATCTTTTTTTTTATTTTATTTTTTAAATAAAATCTTAAAAAAAAAAAAAAAAGGAAGGGAGCCGGGCAAAGGACATCTAAAGTGGTCAAAAGTCATAGAAACAGAAAGTAGAAAGGGGCTTACCATGGGCTGGGGGAGCGAGCAAGGAGGGGGAGTTCATGTTTAGCAAGTATGGAGTTTTTGTGTTGTAAGATGAAAAGTTCTAGAGATCTGTTGCACAACAATGTGAAAATACTTAACAGTCCTGAACAGTACACTTAAAAATGGTTAAGATGGTAAATTTAACATTATATGTTTTTTAGCTAAATAGAAAAGTGGGGGAGGGGTTGGTCTATCATATTCCCCGATTTTGCTCTTCTCTGCCCTCATTCTCTTTAAGGAGAATAGCAAAGAACATCACAACAATCCTAATCCATGCTGAAGTACCGTGCAGACTCCTTAGGGCTGTAAATATTATTAAAGCCCACTTGGTGTCCTTAAGCTTTTCCTTCTTATCCATTGTTCCCCTGTATGTCCCCTCTGACAGCATCTCTGCTCCATCCCTCTGCTTCCTTGACATGGATGTGTCTGGCCCTCTGGCTTCTTAGCCACCCTCAAGTGGACTATCGATTCCAAATTTCCTAAACCATCTCCCTCAGCAAAGGTACAGCTGCATCTCACACAGCTTCTCTTAAAGCCCAGCCTGGGAGAAGTCCTAGCTCCTTCTTGCCCAGGAAGAGAGTTCAGATGAGCACAAATTATCCAGCACCCATAGCACATACAGGTGCTCTTCAGGGTTTGGGGGATGAATGAATGAGTGAACGAACGAATATACTTGAATGGAGTTGTTCCTCAAGGCTAGTTCTCTCCTGGCTACTTGGGAGCGGGGTGGCAGGGGGAGCATCTTGCACCAAGTATGCAGTGGTCTTGACAAGGGACAAGGCTGATGGCAGCCACACTGTGTTTCTAGTCCACGATGTACATGAAATGCAGCTGATCCTGCATTCAGGTTCACTGACCATAAATGCCTCCTCTGTGGGCAAAGCAGATGTACTCTGGACCACAAGTCCAGAATCCTGTGTCCCTATTATAGCCATCTTGCTTGCTCGATGTGTGGCTCCAGAAAAGTCACACCGCCTCTCTGAGTATCAGTTCCTTCATGTGCAAAATGGCAGGTTGTCGATCTCTGTCTGATACTGTGTGACTCGGTGGCTCACAATTTGCTATGTCCTCTTCTTAGCCCACACCTGCCCTTTAATTTCATTCACTTCCCATTGACTTTGCAATTAGAGAAGCTCCTTGACACCCAAGCACATGACCACCTCTGAGGAAGCCTTGACCTCTGATGGAAGGCTGCCAGAGAAAGAAAGAACAGGGTCCAGGGAGAGATCTGCAAACCCTCAGTCCCTTCTAGGCCACAGCTGCCCACAGCTTCCCACATGTGGCTGTGAGCAGCTAGTCCCTGCAACATCAGCCCCGTTGCCACTGAAGTACAGGCATAAAAAGCCACCCCTGATTATTGGTTCTTTCCACAGTTTGGCAACTGTGGCCATTGCTGCTATGAACATTGGGATACAGATGGCCCTTCTTTTCA